ATTTTCTTTGATTTCTTGAATTATTTAAAAGCATAATGAATAATAGTTAATTAAGGAAATTGTAAGACTTAAACTGTAGAGGAGTATCCTTTATGAGATATGTTTTTAGGCAATGGCATCTATCTCTCAATTCTTCTTGTCTATAGTTTAATTTGTGTCTTGAGCTTTCTGTTGGCATTTTAGTTTGAATTTAAATGTTTAACATTTAATTATTCCGCACAGTTGGCTAAAGAGCCGACAAATCCTTTTATGTATTTATTTTTGATTGACAGCTCTGAAGTCAACATAAATAAAGCATATAATGAGAAACAAACAAATGTGCAATAAGAGCTTTAGTTATGTCTATACAAGAGTTTAAGGGCAATTTATGATTTGTAGAAATTCTGTTTAGTTGGTTTTAAATAAATAACACTAATAAATACGTTGTGTGACTGGAAGTTATGAGCTGCTTAAACACGTCTATAAATCTCTAAGGCAAGAAACAAGAGCTACGCAATGAGACTGCAAGTGCGCATTAAACAAGCCAAATGAAGAGCCAGCTCTCATTAATTAGATACTAAAGTGAATTTAAAGTGTGGTCATACATTTTTCCCACTTGCTCTTCGCATTTCTTAGCTGCAGCTCATCCGGGCAGTGCAGTGGGTCAGTAAATGAGGCGCTTAAGCGAATGACGCATAGCTGTTGGCTGCAACACTCGGCGTATAATTAATTTTAAATGCGAATGAGCATGCGACTGCCCTCCAACACACACACACACACACACACACACATACATACTTACATTTGTCGCACATTCAGTTGATTGTTGTCCCGTCTCATGTGTCCAGCTTCAGTAATAGTTCATTCTGTGCGCTGACAGTTTTGTGCGTTTGCCATTCTTATTTACAACATTTAACATGGTCATATTTATTGTTAAATTACTATGCCAGCTTTGCAATTAATTTAACAAACAGCGAATTCAGTAGAACATTCTACGTATTCATTTTGAGCTGAGTAATTAACTGTTTCTGTATAATTAGCAATTGTTCGTCAATGCATTCCGTTCACAATTGCATAACCTCTGTCAATAATTTGATATCCTTTTGCTTTGCGCTTTGCAATTAAAATAATTGATTATATTGTGTATTTATATATTTCTGCTGACAATTGAATAGTCATAGAGTTTAGTTTAGTATTTCACTTATTCCATTCATTTTACAAAGTGGGTTCAACTATTTCAACTTAAGCCTAAGGCTCAAGCAATTATAATCAACAAAATTGTAAAAATGCCTTCTAAACTTCTTCTTTTTTCTTTGGAGCTACCCAATAAAATCGCAGTTATATGAAAAGCAAAATACTCAAGTACTTAGTATACTTTGTGTAAAAATAAAAGTTGGCGGGGAAAATGTTTTATGTCCTCTCCACACGCAATGGAAATTGCAAGTCAGTCAAAACAACGAACAGGGAGAAACACAAAATTGTTGCCCACTGATGGCAAACTTGACAAGATGCCAAAAACAGCGGAAAAATGTTGTGGCCACAACCTAAAGGCGCCTATGCGGGGCGCAGCAGTGGCGTGGCAACTGTTGCCGAGGGTGGATTGTGAGGTGTTGCTTAGATAAACTGACATGATTTAAATGGCAGAAAAACTTTTGGATCCCTGACAAGCCACCTGGCAACAAATGTAAAAAAAAGAATGAAAGGAAGAAAAACTGAGCAGCAAACACACACGCAGACACACACACACATATGTGTAGTTGTGCGACATTTTCTAACATGGCAACTGTCATCTTTCGTTTGTCATGTGCTTTTGCATTGTGACATTGCCGTGCCGTCTGAGTTCCTGTTCCACTCTTATCAAGTTGCCGGTTGTTGATTGAATAAACAGGCACAAACTGTAAGTCTGTAAGTGTGTGAGCGTTGCTCTTTGTTCCCTTTTCAGTTATGTGCGTGTGTTTGTGTGCGTACATATGCGCCTGTACAGTGAAAACTTTTTTGACATGGCTTCAGAGTCTGGACCAGTCGGTCTGAATTTTCCATATTTTGTGCGTGCCACATGGGGAGAAGTAGAAAAATAATATTTACATGCTAGCCAAAATTGTCAGAAAGCCTTTGCCTTGCCGAAGTCATGCGGGCTGCAAGCCAAACCGAAATGAAAAATGGCCAAAATGGTTGAAAATCTCAATGGAGTCAGTTAATAAATCATTGAGTATGGCCATTACGGGCAGTAATGTGTCAGCAAAGTCATCAGAAAGAGTTGTTATTTGTTTAATTGAATTTTTTTACACAACAAACCCAATATTTGTATTTATATTGCACTTCTTTACATTTTAATTAATTTAATACTCATATCAGCATACATTTGCACAGAGCTGTTTTCTCTCTGCAGAATCAAATTACTTATTTAAATTAAAGGTCAAAGTTTTTAGTGATTTATAGTTCTGAGATTTTTCTGCAATTTGCAGGTGTGTTTTTATAACATTTATGCAAACGTTGTACATTTTTTGGGGCACCCTTGTTGACATGAAATCCTCCCACTTTCAGTCCATTCTGATAGCAGATTCTAGTCCAGTCACCATCCAGCTGCCATTTCATTATCCTGCCTACCTTTTTTGACAGTTCTGTTAGGCCGGGGGACTAATGATGACAAATGTTGAAAAAGCAAAAATAGCAGACGGCCATTTTGGTGGAACACAGGGCTGAGTTCAAAGGTCAGACGGTCAAAATAGTCGCATATGTACAATGTTGCGACATTGTCCAGCTGGTCCGCTTGTCCGCTGGACCGCTTGTCCCCTGTTCCACGGCTCTACTCATTGTGTCTGCATGCAAATGACTTTATTTGAATTTTAAATGTGTAAATTGCGCTCGTGTTGCTTGATTTCTCCGGTTCGTTTTCTCAGTTTACGACCTGGCCGTTTGTCACTGATAACGGCGCAAGTGTAGGACATTGGCCAGACACGGCCGACCAAATGAAAATTGCACTGGCATGGCAGTGGAACAATGGCTCGCAATGACAACAACGTTGCCAACAATGGCAGCCCTCCACCTGGCCTGGCAAGGAGATATAATCATTTCCGTTGCCGGCCCACGTACGTCTTTTATCTCTTTCAAATTTTCGTTATTGTTATGCGCTTTAAAAGGTTTTCTTGATAATGGAGCTGCAAAATATGTGAAGAAAAAAAAAACTGTTGACTCACCTGGTAATTTCCTGCCGCCTGCCGCCTGCCGCCAGCCGCCTGCCTTTCGTTCTTCCGTTAATGCCGTACAATGCGTATACTTAACGCGTATACGTAACGCGTGTTATTTGCAATGGCTTCAAGTTGAATGTACCTCACCAACCCATCAACCCCCCATCCCCTCCAAAATGGTACTCATCGCACCTCCATCTGCTCTTGACAGCTTTTTAATTAATTTCAAATGAGTTAAGCACCTTACCAACACAAGTTTTAACTATTCCCGAGCTGTTTCGGTTTATGGATTCCTCTTGGGCAAATTCATAAACACGCTGCCACACATAAAACTTGGCAGCACGCAACCAACCAAGAACTAAGCGCACAAGTCTCGACGAACGCATTAATTTTGGTTCAATTATCCTTCTTCATTCAAAATATTATCATATAAATCATATAATTCCGGGTTAGTTATCTAAAAGAGATGCGATCTATTGGTTACAAATAAAAATAAAAAAATAGAAAGAAAACTTTATGTCTGCTTGGATGAACCTAAAGTAATTGCCCAAGCTTTCAAGCTCACTCGTTATGTTTGTGTGTAGAGTAAGCACTAGCATATTGAAGATGTTCTCAAAGTTTTGACAATTTTAATATTTAGCTCAGTGAAAGTTGGATGTCTTTTACTGCAGACGGCAAAACTTTTGCCAACTATTAGCCAAATCGCTTCAGCAAAGCGCCAATAAGCCGAATAACTTGTAGCTGCTGCGCCGCTGCTTCCACCCACTTGGAGAGCTCCTTGAAGAATTACGACACGTCGGAGAATTTATGATCCATCGAATGGGCTGCAGGGGCGGAAATTCACAAGACCAAAGAGCAAATGCGGAAGCCTAAAACCGCTCAGGCGCTGAAATCGTGTGCGTGTAAACATATTGGCTGCCTTCGTGAATATTTACGACTCTGCCGTTCGCCTGTATGTCATTGATGTACGGCTGGCATATGCAAAAGGTAAGCATGAAGGCCAAATGGCGGAAGCGGAGAAACTGGGTACCCGGCGCTAAATGTCGTGCGGTAGGCATGAAAAATTGCAAATTAACTGAAATTAATGGCGGAGCATGTGTAAATTTATTAAAATTGATACGATGAGCCAGGCGCGCCAGCTTTCCAACTTCATTTACAGGGATTTATGCGTTGACCTAATCAAATAACCAACCTGACAGCGCGTCTGCGTTTTTGGCCAAAAGCACAAAAACCAACTTGCGTATCAATCAAAAGTCGAATCGATAAGACTTAGCTGAACTCAAGACGCAGCCACAATTCGACTGCTGATTGAGTGACCTGCCCAATCTTAACCCCCCCGTCGTACGTCCGCCTCGTGTATTATGCAGCTTATGTTATCAATATGGGCATTAGGTCGCTCGCATTGATCGGGCGCTGAAGTTTACGTTTCAACGCTGCCTTTGCCGAATTTTATTTATTTATGGCTTCAATTTGCTTGTAAGTAATTAAGCCGAGTTTGTCTGGATTAGTGGCGAGCACCGAAATTGCCAACTGCCTGTCAAAATGGCTGAGTGACAGCTTAGTATTCGAACTGGGGTATTGAACTGGGGCCTGCAATTTTGAGGCTCTTAAAGTGTATTTCTGGTATGGATTAACTAAGGCAAAGAACAATTTAATGCCAGTTGTGATACTCCCACGAAAAGGCTAATAGTTCTAGCCGGAATATTTTGAAAATTGTTCGTATTGGCAAAGCTAGCGCATTAATGCAGGACTGTGAACCCTTCTTTTACGATTTTCGTAATTTTTCCGACGTTTCCGCAGAACACGTTCGACTGCGTTTAACCGCTTGGCGTATTCATATCAAATCGAAGGTTTAGCATTTATTATTATACTTACTTATTTGTGTTATCGGCTTTTTCCTTACTGAATAATATTCAGATTATAAGTTGTATTAACAAAACCCCGTACAACTAATTTATAACTGGATTTAAAGAAAATGCCGACCGAAGACAGCACTTGATGGAAGGAAGTGAGGGACAGAGAGAGACAGAGAGAGAGAGAGAGAGAGACAACTACTTCGAACGTTCTCTTTGCTTGTCTGGCTGCTGCTTAACAGCCCACGGAGAGACTGTACTAACCGTTGTGGAATTGAAATATGGGACCGATGTCGTCTTGCGAAGCGAAATACCGCTGGAATGCGCTGAACTAGCGGGCTCTATTACGGAATCCGTTGCTGCCTTTTTGCGTGCAATAGTTTCCTGCTCTTTGGCCGATCGATAGTCATCCCAATCGGTAGCGATGCGTCCGAGTATTTCCTCTCCTCGCACCAGAAATGGCTGTTTTGTGCGCTCCTCAAAGGCCTGCACCAGCTCGGTTAGTTGTTGCTCGATCTGTGGCAGTTTTATGCTGATAGTTTTACGTTCTCGCTCCTCCCGGAGCAAAGCGCCGCCACGATTGTGATAGCGATTGGGTTCTTTGGCCTTATCCTCGAGCGCCACCATGCGCGTCCAAAGTTTGACGCGTTTGTCGTAGAGCTCGAAGATGGATCTGTTACTGTTGTAATACTCCTTAGTAGCTGCCAGCTGCTCCTCTAATAACCCCAAGAGTTCCTCATTGCAGCAATCCTTTTGATAGTTTCCTGCTGTTGGATATTGCAATGTCAGATCACACCATTGATTGATTTCCGTGCGCACCTGGTCGATGAGAACTGAGAGATTTTGGGCACGCAGAGCTTCACATTGTTGCAGCGCCTGGCTGAGCTGCTCGTAGTTTTGCTGTGAATTGTCTTGCGTTTCACACAAATTTTGCATGGCTAATACGTCAATACCAATTTTTGACAAACTTTCCGATAGAACGCGGGTCTTAAGGCGCATCTTGTCCAAGCTCTTATTCCAGTCCTGTAGCCGCCTTTTGGCACTTGCCTTGTCGCGTTGCCGCTGCAGCTCCTCCGTTAGGTGGATCATTAAATGATTGAGCTTTAATTTTTGTTGCGACCGCAGCCTATTAATCGGCTCTGGAGGTGTGTCAACAACTTTGCTCAACTGCACGGCCAACCATTTGGACTTGTCCAGTAGCACCCGAATATCCATTTCAAACCTGTGCTGCATTTGCTCCCACATCTCGCAAAGCATATCAACATTTATCTTGCTCATATCTGTATCCCCCATAATGCAGTGTTATCGTTCGACAAGTTGTGTTTTAACTTTTGTGAAAGGTTAACTATTGAAAGCAAAGTCAATGTTATATTCGTTTCATAGTCAAACAGCAAACTTATTGCAAAATTGAAATTTTCTTGTACCAATTCAGATATGTGTGTTCCTAGCGACATTTTATATGTGGATGTATATTTGTATGAGTGTTTGAAAGTACGTACCTATGCATTAGGATGTTTACAGAATTTTCTATGTGAATTAATTTAAAAAAAAAAACATATATTTTCATTCATGTCTAAATTTACATTTGTTTTTGTTTAATTTTTTTGAATCGCAATTCAAAGTAATGCAACCCACTGAACCCAACTGAATCGCGAAGTACAAAAACGCATACAAACTATGACTATAGGCTAATCTTTATACTTTCTAAGTAATTTAGAATAGATGACTTTATACGAAGATGAGCAGACTCTGAGCAGAATACTCTGTAATGCTTATTGTAATCATCACAGAGGACCGGGAAAGATTTATGCAAGGCATAGTTAGTTGAACAGACACATGCGGCATAGTCCAGAACATTTTGTAAAACGAATCAGTGAAAATTCTTTGAATTGTTAAACGCCTTAGAACATCACTTGATGAAACCGAAAACAATTCTGGCCTAATTAAACACGGTTATTCCTAAACCAAATGCAGACAAAGTTAACTACCCATTGATCAGCTCTGTTCATCATCCTGATAAAGAATTAATATATAATACATAGGCTCGGTATTATATATTTGCCACCATCTGCCTGTCGCTTGCATTTGCACAGCTGCAATCTACTTTTTTGAAAATAATATTTTCTCTACAATTTAAATGCTTAAACCAAAAAAAAAAAACAAAAGTTTTTGGTGTCAAAAATAGCTCGCAGCGTTGAAAAATGGCAAAAATCAAGTGGGCAAATGCTGCAAAATAAAACTCAGGTAATAATGTTCAGATAATGGAAACAAAAAAGAATTTTATATTCAATATGGCCAAGAGCTAAAACAATTACCAACAACAAAAAAAAGGAACAATCAAAAGTTAAGAGCATATAAAATGCACACACACACATGCATCAAGTCCGTCAAATTATTTAATTCAATTGAAGCGACCGCTGCATTTGGCAGCCAAGTGGATTATGCATTCACTGGGTCAGCAGCTGTCGTTCTGGGAGACCGATAGTGACGTCTATGATGGACGCTCGTATTAAGTTCCACAGACCAAGAACCTGCGGCACTGATTTAAATGTGCACCACAAAAAAAAATTGAAAAGGACTCAGCCACAGAACAAATTCAATCGATTCCAAACCACGACCGTAATTAACGTGGAACAAAGTTGCGCTGAATCCTTTTATCAGCAGCGAACGCTATTCCAAAGGGCAAGATGAGAGTCTAGTTAAAATGCTTGTGTGGTCAAAAGTTGTCCGCCAATTAATTATACATAATTATTCATACATTTTTAAAACGAGGAGAATACAGGTGCAGATGAAGAAAAGGTACTACTAAATTCAAATTATGTAATTACTCATCAAGGTAAAGTATTGAAAAATATTTGGAAGTTCTCTAAACTGAACAACGGGGATGCAGGTTTTTTATCACATAGTACCTTGAGGTTATAGAGTTGTCTTTGCAAAAATCTATTGTTTATTAGTTGTATTAAATACGTTACGCTGACAGTTTATAACTATATCGTATGCTAATAATAATAATAACATGTAAGAGTGCCCGACTAGGGATTAATGCGAACATTTTTCTACCAACGAACTCGTTTGCTTGTGCATTAACAAAAAGGCAGTTCACTTCTACCGGAGTTGAACTGGCAACTTCGACTGACTGAACTACTTGACTCCGACTAATGCCTCACAGGCATACCAAGAACTCAGTTTCTATGAGAAACGAACTGAAATAAAAATCCAGCACATTTACACAGCCCAGCTTACGTCGCAATTGCAATTCTATCTGTGTACATGCATGTGTGTGTGTGTATTTGTGCACATGTGTACAAAAATTCTTCCGCTTTGCCCTTGCAGCCACGTGGCTGCCAACATAAACACACGTTTTCTTTAATAACTTCTTAGTTTCTTACCCGATCTTGATTCAATTTTCAGCAGCTGATCTTATTGTGCTATAGAATATGCGTATAATCAAAAAGACAAGAACATTTAAATTGTGGCTTAAATTGGTGGGTAGTGCTCATTAATTCATTTATTTCATATATAGCAATGTGGTTTTGAGTTCAAAGCATTCATACATACGGACATACATACGGATGGACAGACGGGCATGGCTAAAGCTGACCAAGAAATGTCGGGGTCTTTCTGTTACATACATTTGCACAATTATACCATTATACTTTTTTTACCCATCTTGAATGGGTTCAGACAATAATAATAGTAAAATTAAAAGTTATGATAATTATAAAATTAGTAGTAAAAATAATAACAATAATATACATGCATGTCAAACCTTTTGTAATAGTCAAGTTACCCACACAAATTGTATGAATCGTTAGTAAGTGCCACACAGCTTTGACTTTCATGTAGGATACCCATTGTATATTGCCCCCTGATAGAGACCACTCTGTTCAAATTAAAAGAAAAGCGAAATAAGCGAACCTCAATTGTTACATTGTGCATTTTTCTTTTGCCAGCTTTTGTGGTTTCAAATTAAGTGTTTAGCGTTTTTATCGAGTCGCACACATTGTTCAGCTGAGTTCAGCCCTTGTCGATTGTTGTGCAGCTGCCACCAGTCTGCCTTCTCCTCGGTTGGCGCTAATGAACTTCCGCTGTCAAATGAAATGCTTACCATGCAAATCGCGGCATATCGAATAATTGAACCCCCACCGCAGCATTGTTATTATCATTTTCATTTTGTGCTTCCGCTGCTAGTGAGGGCTGTTTTTTTTTTTGTTCGTGCTCCTGTTGCTGTACAAATTTCGCTGTGGGTTCGCACATGTTTCACATCCGTTCACACCATTTTCTTGCCTTGCCCGGCCAAGTAGGCAACAGTCAGTTCTTTTCACTTTTTGCACGCTCAGAGCAAATTGCGCACATTTAAATGCAAAAACCGTCGACAGTTGCGTTTATAGGCGGCTAGGTGTTCATGATTGCTATGCCAAGCCGTTGCCACGCCCCCCTTTCGGGTTATTTACAGCTGCGCGTGAGTTTTCATTTGCTGTCTTCTGCGTATGTTGGAGTTTTTCCGTATATTTTTCGTTTTTCCTGGATTTATATGCCCAAGATTTATGTCGCATGCAGCCAGAGGAGCACGCACACACCTGTATATGGCTGCGTGTGTGTAGTCTGTGTATAGTCTGGGTGTGTTATGAATATGCATGTGTTCATTATTGTGGATTATTGTTATATCAGCGGAAATGGGGCACAGCTTTGACTGCGAAATGAATACCATTTGAATACTCTCAAATTATTAACCTCTGCGTATAGTTACCTTCATTTCAAGAGCCTCTTGCCAGTGGACAGGTATTTAAGGGCAGCGCAGGGCAGGGCAAAGAATAGAAGAGAAGTGACTTTTATTAACGGTCCTTAAGCTTATGAATAGACGAACTAAGTTCTTCTATGACATCGACAAATACAAATACAATAAAATTCTTTACAGATTTCCCATTAAATTGCCATATAATAAATATGATAAAACATATACTAGATATCAGCTTAATGAAAGCCTGTAAAAATGTCTGTTGAAAACTTAACTAATAAATTGCCCGCATTATCGCAACGTTGTGACAAATGTGAAAATTTAAATTATTGTAAGCTCTAGGGGCTGTACTATTTTTTGTTGCGAATACATTCACGTAGTCGTAAATTAAAGCAAATTGTAAATTTACGGTAAACTGCATTCACATTTTTGCAGTCATTGATGCGGGGCAATGGTCGTGCGCCGGGTTCATTTGGCAGCTTAGTGCCATTTTTGCATTTCCGTTTTGTCCGCTTGTGGACCATCGATTTAATCTGTTCCTGGCCAGCAACAACAATGCCAGCACAGCAACAATTATGCCGTGCGTACAAATTCTCTGAAAATTTCTCATTCATAGTACCGCGGCCAATGCAGCCGCGGCAAAGAGCCCATTGCAACTATGTTCGGTCTGCTCCAGCTTGGCATAATGAAAGCGCCGCACGGATGACATCCATGGGCGAGGGCTATATAGCAATAGCGAATCCCACTTCCACATTCCGATTGCAATTGCCAACGACTAGGGCAACCGCATCGATGAGGACAATGACGACAACAATACGGCGATTGGCGCTGTGATTAACTGCATCGCAGTTACCCATTTCGGGTTTTAGCTTTTAATTCTAAACAGCAGCGCGCTAATTTGTAACAGTTCTTGTTGAGGTAGGTCAACGGATGAATAGCTCTGTGCCGAGGAAAATACCTTAACGGATTTGCTATGAATATTAAGTGAAATTAAAGTTGTTTGAGAAGTCTTGAACTCATTGCACCCTGTGTGAAACGTCCTGGCATTAAATCTGCTCATTTTCTAATTGCCTGAACAACATGCAACGAAATCAAATTAGAATCAGCATGAAATCAAATGAACTGCCTAAACAAGCTCTGCTACGATTGACAGACAAAGTTCGAACAGCTGCAGAGGAGCTGACAGTAAGTGTAAGCAAATATTCAGGCACATCATGTGTGCGGCAGGCGCTCACACACATTTAATCAACGAGGGAGGACCCAGCGCAGGCAAACAGACTCCTCTGTACAAGTTAGTGCCCTGTAAAGCTAACTCGCACAAAGTGAAGACTCAGTGTACTGCTTATTATGGAAGCATTCGGCTGTAAAAGTTTTGCAGGTGTTTGTGAGCAGAGCAATCAGAAATTAATATGCCAGCAGGCGCACTTAAAAGACCATCCTTCTACGTATACTTCATGAATATCTCAACGGCGCACTGTCATAATCATAAAACAAGCTTCAATAGAGCTGATATATGTACAACACACAATGTGTTAGTGCAGGAGACACTGTCTATTTCCTTACCTGAGCAGGTGTCTCCTCTACTAGCTACATTGGATGTGCATAGATTTTTATATTATGTGTGTG